TGAGAGCAGCTCTTGAACAGTCAACCACACGCCATGAGCGACAGAGTGTCACTACTTTAGCCACGGGACAACGAGCAGGTTTGTTGCGCGAAATACGAAAATATTATTCACAGAGAGCCAGAGGAAATCTGGTGTTTTCATGGCTTCGCATCACCTAATCTGTTCTGCCTCCTCAATCTGAGTGACCACCAGTCAACAGGTACCCAAGGGGCGTGCCAGGGCTGGGCAGATACCTGTGGTTTTAGCTCACGAAGCTGGCACACCCCCCTGCCTTCAATTAGCTTTAAACTACAAGTACCATCCATCTCCTCCAGGCTTCGCCAGCTCCAGAGTTTCACTTTTTGTTCATTCTTAATCTGCACTACATTTCTTTTAGCAAACAACGTACAGTCATTTAAATGGCAACAGCAAAACCAAGATTAGCAGTCAGCCTTCCTGTCAGAGTCTATGCTTGAATTTTCTACCGGACATTTGAATTAAAAAAAAAAAAGTTAAAAAATAAATTTTAAATGAAATTAGAAAAAAAAAGAAGACTGTGATAAAATTCTAACCATGAAAATATCTGCTGAGGATGCCATTTATTTGCATTTTTTCCAAAAAAAAGTATATGCCTGTGAGTTCATAAGTTGTCAATTTTTGAACCGCAGTCATTCCAGTACTACCTGAAGAAATAGTTACGTTCAAATGACACTAGAATATTAGTTCCTATATATCCCTATAAAAAGAATCATGCGACATTTTAACTGCACGTTCTTCTGTTCTATTTGCTTATTCTAATTTATCGATAACTCAAACAGCAGCTGATATGGTGATTTAAAAAAAATGCCTCTCCACCAGCAACAGCCAACATATCCACAAATGTCTGCAACAATTTTTGTTATCAAAAATACATAAATCAATTTAAATTCTTAGCGATTAAATGTATTATCTCCAAAACAATGCCTGTGGCGCTTTAGAAAGTAATATTCGGAATTCAGGCAAGGGAATTTATTGATCAAAGATAAAAGCTGCAGACATTCCTGTAAAAGCAAGGCTCTGAGAACAACTAGAAAGTTCCAAACAAACAGACAAAAAAAAAAAAAAAAAGCCTGCAATTGTTTCAAATACACTTAATAATTCTGCTGATTTGGGATGATTAAAACTGACTACTTAATTAGGCAATCATTAGGCTTCCAAAAACCCTGAAAGAAACGGGAGTTCAGAGAGCCCACCTTCACCTGGAAATGACAATCCTGAAAACCACTGCAAACTTTCTGTATCTTCTCTCTATAACCTGTGCAAGAGAGTCACACCTAAGCCTGACCGCCTGGAGCTGGGGTTGGGGGGGGGGAGGCACCAAACAATTTACCAGGAAGGAAATGAGGCACTTCTTTCAGGAGGCTGAATTTCTAAAGTGTTAGAAAGAGCAGAGAGTACCGCAGATTGTCTCTGTGGACTCCTGCAGAAGCTCTGCTCTTGTGCTCTGCCCACATGCTTGTATTCGCTGAAGATAATTAATGAAATTTCTGCTCTCCCGCGTGTCTATCAGAAGCAGCAGCCTACAAAATGCTTTCCAAAGTTCCTCACGGTGAAAACAGGAACAGCAACGACGAGAAAGATTCTCTGCTAGAAGCTCAACTGCAGCAGTCTTAAATACAACTTGAGAAAAGAAAGCTCGAAAGAGAGAATTCCTGTTTGTGCTCAGAAGGGTTAGATGCTGCTTAAGAAATCCCTGCACATTCAGTGAAAGAAGAAAATATATTTTGTTAATGTTTCTTGAAATAATTCCAAAAGACCCCCAAAAAACTCCCTGTTTAGGAGAAGAGCAAAGCAAAGCGAGTCTACTCACATGTCCAGCTTCCAAACAAATGTCTCACCCTCTTCCAGGCAAACAACGAGATTGTAAGGCCCTGCTATGATTCTTTCATTGCAGACATGATTAATTAGCAAGTATTACACTCCTCAAAACTCCCACCACACTCTCGCCTGCTTATTTAATAGAGTACATGAAAGAACAAGTGACCACCAGCACTGTAAGGCAGGTATCCAAAAACTCTATCTCAAAGAAATACTTTCCTATCTTTGCTTCCCAAAATAAAGCAAACTGCTTTTCAGCTGCTTTACAAAATGTTTCTTTTTTTTGGGGGGGGGGGGACTAGGTCATAGTTTTAACAATGTTTTTAAATTTTGAATAATGCATGCACTGTATTCAGGAAAATGTACCATGCTTAATGTGTTACCCCTATTTGAAACTTCAAAAGACTCGTAAGTCTGTATAGTTTATATTGATAACCAACTATATTCAAAATTGTTAAACAATAGCAATGGTACAGGCAAGCATGTTTGAGGACAGAGTTTAAAAGGAAATAAAAATGAGTGCTTGGCCAAATAAAATTCAATTAGTCACAATTACAATTAGAACCCCCAACAGGAGCAAAAGAATAAAGAGAAGAAAGAACTCAATATTTAAAAGAATGAAAACTGCTGACTCTCAATATTATTCCAAACACTCTTTCAAAATAATTTCCCTTATAAAACAAAAAAATCTCTTTTCAAATGCCCATATTCATCAAGAAGCTGCTCATAACTGAAAGTATTATAAATATGTGGTTGAACACCATCAATTTCTAAAGCCTGGGATTTCCCCCTGAAGCCTTTCCCAACTGTGATGGCTAGTAAACTTCACACATAGTAAGGTGCTAACAAATAAATGTTGCTAGTTTCAGGAAACAATTTTTTTAAAAAAATCTATATTGGTCCAAATATCTTTTTCCCCCCTCTCCCCGTTGTATTAAATTTAGGATCAAAAGCATCAAAGAAGCTTCCACCTCAGACCTAACTTTCAGAGGATCAATGTGACAAGGCAGTCCCTGATAGATGTTTCTCTTGATAAACGACTTGTTCAAAAGACACATTGTAGCTTTCATTTCCTGACCACAACACACTTTTAATTTGCAACAGCAGAGCTGCTGAGTGTGGGCACTTGCCCACTTCGTAGCCTTTCAGGTTTGTAGCTCTGGTTCCTTTAGGCCACACATTTGAGATAAACAAAATCTAAAAAAAAACAATCATAGTGAGAGAAAATAGAAGCCACTGGTACCCTTTCATGCCTAGATACATGTGGTCACTTTCTATACACATGTGTGCGTATATATGCATATATATGTACACACACACACTACCAGATTCCAGTGAGTGATAACAAGACTTCTGAACATCATTTTCACATCCGGCATTTAAACACACAGAGAAATAAATTATCTGAGTATTACTTAATAGTAAGCAACGTGTAGTCTCAGAGCAATTTACATACTAAAATTTGCTGTTACATGCCTTCAATGGTATTGTTGCCTGTGCGTGTTTTTACTTATTATTGCAGTAATGAGTACTATGAGTACTACTACTATCCAGAAACCATGTTTAAGTATCATTACGGTGAACAGTCAAACCATCCAATTTCTGCTCTCAGCACATTGTCCGAGCTCCGATTTAAAATTTATAAATGTAATATCCCTCCTGATCACAGGCAGCAGCCCAATCTGCTCTGAATATATATTACAGCTTTAACATCACAGAGGGAAATCGCCCATCTGGCAATCCCATTCGCTCCAACAGCTCCAGGGGAAAGAGAAAAAAAAAAAAAAAAAAAGCTGTGCTCTTTCTCCTCCTTAAAACATTTCTCAGGGCAAATTATGTGCATCTAAAATAAACAGTCTTCTTATTGATCGATTCAAAGTCAACAAGTTCCAAATGCAAAAATCCAATCAAATCCTTCCTATTCTGCAAGTGTGGTGGTGTGTGTTTAGTCCTATAGTCAGCAGAGCCCAGGTAGAAGTGGCTGTCGCACGCGGAGTCCTGAAGTCCCTTCCCTAGTATTCTCATCTGTGCTATGAGGAAAGCACTGACCAGGGCCACACTACAGATGCCTGGCAGCTTTGCCCTCTCTTATTTCTTTTTCTTTTTCTTTTTCTTTTTTTTTTTCATTTCTGTCCCTCCTTTCATTCTTCTGAAGAGAAATCTATAGCATGGGGAAAATGTAACAACAACAACAAAAAGAAAAACAGTTTAAAGTGCACATATCCTTTGGCCATGGAAAATACTTTCCCATCTTTTTGTGGTTGCTGTCCTCTTTTAGTTGCAATTGATTATCGCGAAGTGTACACACAGCACAGCCACGAGAGCTATTGAAAACCCCCCTCACTCCATTTAACTGACTTTTTTTTTTTAATTAAAGACAGAGAAAAGAGTGATTTCATATAAAGTCAGTTCAGTGCCTGAGTATTTAATTCTGTCACAGGTTAAAAGTAAAAAGCGCTGACAGACAGACAAGTCAATGGCAAAAGGAGAAAAAAAACTGCCACTGTTTCTTATAAGACATTAAGGACAGGGATAATAAGAAATATGCACTTACATATCTTATTTTCATTTAAAAGATACACCTTCACTCACTCACTCGCCCGATTAAGGGGGGGGGGGTCCACACAGAAGAACCAATTATTCCATAAAGTGCAAGCAAGAGAGAGCAGACAGTCAAATTCCATTCATAGGTTGAGAAAAAAAGAAAAAGAAAATTCCATCCAGTCCTGTGTGTGTACATTATATATATATATATACACATTAGTTAGCAATCTTTGCCCCACACTCCCACGTTCTCCATCCAGCTGCCCCCCACCCAAACAACAACAACAAAAAAATCCCACCCTGAGTTAAACTAATTTGCATACCATTTGACTTCAGCCCTATAGAGAGCATAACTAGAAACATGCAACTTCAAGATTAAAGCTAAAACCAGTGAAAAGTGTCCTGCCCGCAAGTCATGGATTAATCAAAACTAAAATACATAAACAAGTGATGGCAAATGCAAGAAAAGCATAGTGACAGATGAAAATAAACATATTGATAAAGAACTGTACATTGTGAGCATCTGATTCCCAAAGCAGACGCCAATGATTTTTATCATGCTCTTTTAATTCGTCTTCCCTATTTAAAAGCAAAGGAAGTAAATTCCAAAACTGACATACCATAAACACTGGTGCTACTGATCATTTCTTGCTGGTAGCACAAAAAGCTGAATTGGATTTTCTCACAAGCAGGAATTCCAAAGGTTGCTTTTCATTAAAGCCACTTTTCCTCTCAGCTATCAAATGTCACTGCCTTGAAACGTGGGCCCTTTCGTCAGGTATTCATTTAACCTACATGCATATAATTAAGGGGGAAAGCAACATCAACAAAAAGGGGATCTCAGATCACAAGAGAAGAAAGAAAGGAAAAAAAAAAAAAAGCACATGACCAGGAATGCAAGTCCATGTCAATTTCACTCACTCCCATTGAAACTAACAAGAGCTCCGGGGAGGACGGTAATAGGATCAGTGGATTGTATATACCATTAAATTATACATCTTTCTCTCCCGTTCCTTGCCAACAATACGCCCACCACGCTGTACCCCTCCCGGATGATGTGCTTACATTTTTCTGCAACCGATCCTCTGACATTTTTCTCGATCCCCCTGCCACGAGATTGTAATTTAACCTCAACTTTTTATGTGTGTGCAAGATTCTTATTTACACTTCGTATTTACTTAGAAGTTAGTTCCCGAAGAAAGTCTAGCCCCACCCTATGGCTCCGCTCTCTTATTTTTGTATTTTTTTTTTTTTTGAAGTAAAAAGATAGTAGTAAGTAAGCCCAATATCGCGAAAAGCGAGGTTCTTGCAGTCACGAACTCTTAATCCCATACTATTGTTACAATGATTAAGCTGCAGAAATATGCATCGTAATGTTTCAGGGCTACTTTGTACGGAGAAATTAGACAGCAGGTTGGCGTACAGAATAGAAACGAATGCAAATTAAATTTACTGTTTACGGCACAACTCAGGGACCTCTTCTCACTACAGGTCTTGGATCTATCTATATTCTTTACAAATAAAACAAAACAAAAAAAAATTAAACAGATGGTAGAAAACTACGAAGCTCCCCTTACCTGGACGCGCGGAGCGAGCTCCCGATAGGTTAGCGTAGCATCGATCCGATGTGTTTGCTGATGAATGGAAGCTAGGGTTAAGTGAAGGTGCCTATGATTTGAAATCATTCCAAGTTTTTGAAGGGAAGACGGACTGCAGCCTCTGCCATGTTGGAATTTCAAACCCAAAACAGCTGCTTGGAAGGAGCCAGCATGCCAGAGGCTGAGCGCAGGCGCAGAGCGCCGCCGAGCCAAATTCAAATCACTTTCACACTAAGAGCCAAAGATCAGTTTTCAAAGGAGAGAGGGAGAAAGAGACGCAGGCGGCCGCGCGGCCGGGCGTCGGGAGGCAGTGGCGAGAGGCGGGCGTTGGAGCGCGGCGGCCCGGGAGCCCCGGGAGGGAGCGGCGGCGCGGGCCGGGGCTGCAGGGGGAGCGGAGGCGGGAGCGGCGAGCTGCGCCCGGCCGCGGGCGGGCAGGGAGGGCGCAATGGCCGGCCGCCGGGTCATGTTACACGGCCCGGGCCTCGGCGGCCGCCCAGCTTCACAACCGCGCTCCCGCGGCCCGGAGGGGGCCCCGAGGTCATGCCGGCGCTCGGGGACGCGGAGCCTGGCCCAGCCCGCGCGCGGGGGAGAGATGCCCCCGGGGGAAGCGGGCCTGGGTGTCCACGCGCGATCGCGCGCCCCCGAGGGCCCCTCCCAGACCCTCCGGCCACCGCTGCCACCGGGCCAGCCCTCCCCCGCCGCGGCGCGCACGGGACGGGACGCGGAGCCGGGACCCCCCCCCCCCCCTGCGCCCTGGTCCCCGAGGCCCCCAGCACCAGCCCGAAAATGACTTTATCGGCTAGGGAGAGGCAAGTTGGGGAGGCAGATCAGCGTGAACCCACTTCTCCGCAGCTGCCTTTCCGCGAATAAATAAAACCCTAAGTGTCTAGGTGTGCGGTCCCCTCTCGAGCTCCCCGGCTCCCCTCCCTACCTCCCCCAGGCGGCTCGGGCAGGGGAGAGCAGCGCCCGGGGGGCCCTCGGTGCGGGAGGCTGGTGCACAGGCAGAGACCTGGGGCTTCAGCTTTCCCAGCCCCCCGCTATGGAGCAATCTGGGGACCCAGGAGAAGGAAGAGAGTCGGGGCTTTGTGGTGCTGGGAGCTGAGGAAGAATGAAATGTGCAGTTGAGTGTGTGGCTCGCATCCCAGGGAGCAGTGCCGTGCTGATTGTCTGTGGCTGAGATAGCCTTTTGTTCGCAACATAAGGTTTAAGAAACACACACACGTTTTCTGGGGTCTCTTGTTAGATGTAAATGTGCTGCATCCAGACGCTTACTATGCAGTGTAAGCTCAGTTGGTTTACTAATCACCCCGCCCCACCCCCAAACAATCAGGATCATTTGAATGGGAACCTCATTCAGACTTCTAGGCTGAGAGGATTGCCTTCAACCTATTTCATCCTAGACTAGCCAACCATCCAACTGAGATAATAAAGCAAACAATAACATTTGATCATGATGTCTACGAGATAATGTGCCCGGGAAAGTTCTTAAGGAATTGTAATGAGAGAAAGAGAGAGTTGGGTAATAATTCCTCTTCATTTTCATTAAATATGACTTTAATAGATAAATGGTGAGTTTATACTTTGGCCTGGTGGACAGCCAGTCCTCTATATTTCAACTAAACTAAGAATGAAAGAGGCAAATTACGCGTTCGACCAGGAGGCCATCTAGCTGAAAATGTTACCTTTGAAGGTTGGAGCTGAAAATGCACTTGTTTAGGGCGAATGCCCTTCCTAAGTGTCCGCTTCTCTGCCAGCTTCCCGGCTAGGGCTTTAATAGACGAAATCGCTGCTCTCATAAAAGGCCAAATATATACTCAGGAATTAAATCCATTCTTCATTTGAGATTTCCTTGCATCTCAATAGATGCGTTTATCACAATCAAAAAAAATTAAATGGTTAAATCTGAACAGATGACAATTGACGCCAAAAGAGTGGTGTGCCAAAACATATTTGTAAGCGATGAGATTTTTATTTGGAATAGATTTTGACCTGACTGCACTTCTTTATTTTTAAAGGTAGGATTGGAAAGAAAGCAGAACTTTATTCTGAGGCAGCAGAGAACACTGATGTGATTCTCTTTACATTTTAGAAGATAGCATTTAAAACGATACTGAGAAAAGTTATTCACTGGGTTTCATCACAAAGAAATACGTGTAGCAGAGTATCTGTGGGTCGCTGTGGCAGAATGTGCAGGTGACTTTTTTTTTAATCTTCAAATCACTCTTAATTTCGTTTATTACCCATTTGTGGGGTGACACGCAGAAGTCTCCAGCACATATATAGATGGTCTCTGTGCCAGACAGGCAGGACTGCCCTGTCCTTGTCTGCTGAAGGAAAAAAAAAATCTAAGAACTAATCTACCTTCAACATTAAATTCCTGAGACTGAAATTAGAGATCCTGGTCTAGTTCAGAATACTGATGTATGTATCAGTACACAAACACACACACACACACACACACACACACACACACACACATATATACATAAATATATCACCATACCCTGCATTATGATGACAGACTTAAGGTAATTCCCTAGCATAATCTAAAACAAAATAGTCCTTAGCTTTTAGGAGAGAAAGGGAAAAGTATGATGAACAAAAGTTCATTAATAGCTAATAGCTAGCACTTTCTTCAATTTCCTTACGTATTCATTGAAATATTATTAAATCCATTGTTCAACCTACCAACGAATATAATTTAACTGTAAAGTTACAAAAAAGGAAAAACTGCTCAGCAGAGCACTGCATGGATTTACAAAGTTTTAAATTGTCCAAAGTCTAATATACCCCAGAGGAAAGAGGTCTCACATAAAAGCATAGACATTATGGATCCATATATATAATAAAAATCCACAGAGGGCTTGCACTGAATGATTTCCAAGTTTTACTTTTATATATAAGCAAAAGTTGTTTTTCTCCAATTACTTTATGTGGAATTTTAAAAAAAAATGTTTTTCACAAAGGCTTTATGGCTTTGCCTGCCATGTTTATATTTTTTTATAACACTCTTTAGTTATATGCCAAGAACAAATAGCTTTGGAGTGGCCATCATATTCCATTCCCGTTCATCATTAAAATTTGCAAGTCTTGTCTGGCTGCAAGCGATTTCCTTTTCGACAATATGTATTGCGTAACTTTTTCTTGCAAAACATGAGGATTAGAAATTGAGCATTAAAACAGATTGAGCTTCCAATCAAGGCAACAGTTAATTCAGGAAGAACCAACTTGACACATCCTTCCTGTTGTGCTTGTGACACTCCACAGTGTTCCATCTTCACTTTGTAAATCGTAGAGACATCAAAACGTAAACGATTTGTATTTGAACAAGTTGCGTTTCTACATGGTACATCCTGGCTATGGCTTTTTAAGAAAATCAGAAGGTGGCGAGCCTATTGTTCTCTCTGAGGATCAGTATGTGACCGAACATATATGTGAGTGTATGTGGGTATGTTTCTCAAGCTGAGAAGAGTTCTATTTCCCTTCCTCCTCATCCTCAAGGTAGTATAAGTAATAACAAAAGTGAAAAATAAGACAATCATGAAGACGGTAACTGATTTTGATTTTGCAGATGACTGTTCCCTGACCCTCATTAGACTAAGGAGATCTAAGCTAGGGAGAATATAGGATGGGTGTTCTTGTCACAGAGAGGAAAAAGCAAGACGACCTCTGGTACAGGGGTCAGGAAGAAAAACACAAATATTGGATATTATACAGAAATGCAAGCACAGCAGGCTACTGTATACAGTTTTCATAAAATGCTGTACACAATTTAATTTTAACTACTATATTTTAATCTGAAACTTATGTTTAATATATATATAATTAAAATAAACTAATCTCTTCTTCTAAACTATTTAGTAGCCACTGATTAAAATCAAGGCAATCTAGATTTTAAGTATTCCAGTAATGAAAATTGTCATGGAATAATTTTAATGCATCTTTAAAATTGAAGATTATTTAAAGAATCATTATCTCTACTTGAATTCAGTTGAGGTGATTCAAAAGTTTTTAGACAACCCCCTCCTCCCATGAGAAGCAAGTGTAAACCTTGACCTTATTGAGTAAAATTACTGAAATTGTTCAGAATTGCATGTGAATGCAGACACTGTCAAACTGGTCTAGGATGCTTCACGTAGCCCCTTACTAACCCAACCCATGCTGGCGTGATAGTCATCTGAAATATTCCCTTAGCTATGCAGAGATGTATTCTTCAGACAATACATGATAGTCTATGTTTTTCAGATTTTCATTCACATATATTTATAGTATCCATATGGTTTATTGTAACTTCTGCCTGCCTGCCTTTTCATGGTTCTCAATTTCATTCAAAAAGTGAATACTGAATATTTACTGTGGGTAAAGATATTGTGCTTAAAAATTGCAGATTTAAAGAAAACTGAGTTAATATTTTATGGTTAAAGTCAGATAGCTCAAAGTTTATGTTGGAGGTGCATTTGTAAAAGATTCTGCACAGAAGGGGAAAAAAAAGAGTTTTGTTTTGCTTTCTGTTCATGGAGGGGGACAGTTTCTCTGGACTTAGTGGTCTCGTTTATCTTCCAAAGCATAAACTACTATGGTTTTGCACACAGTATCCTGTTTCTGCTCTCTGTTTGCCTTGCCCTTCTGTCTTATACTTTGGCTAGTCCCCCCTCCTTTTGTGTAGGCTAATTTGCTTTAGGGTTTTATTCTGGACCTCCTCTAATTTAGGAACTATTCTTCTGTGTCCTCATGAAAACCTGTATCTTTAGGCCCCTTCACAACTGTGCAAAAGCACCTCTATGTCTGACTCTACTATTAGGTTGTAAGCCTCCTGAGCGCAGGCAGGCATCCTTCTTCACTGTCCTTCACCAAATGCCTCAATTAACACTGAAACTTGTAACTGTTTGTGAAAAATGAATGACTGCATGATGGAAGAAGTTATTTCTCCATGAGCAGAAAACAGAAGTTGTGGGGTGTTTGCTGGAAACTGGTACTCTGGTCTGTCTGTATCTCTGAGACACATGGGCCAAATGTGTGTGGGAGTGAGAGATGGTTATGGAGTAGCAGGAGGGGGGTCCTAGGCAAGAAGTCTGCATTTCAATAGGTAGGCACGAAGAAATCCTGGATGGTTTGCAAGCAAGGGGTTTATGTGAATTTAGCCCCGCTTTGAGAAGACGGAGCTTACAGAACCAGAAGTGAGGAAAGCAGCGGTAAAGCTATTGCAATCATTGAACATTTGCTGGTCCCTCAAATTGCCGATGTTTCTGGAATGTTCACTGATTTGCTCCCTTGCCTTTTTTTTTTTTTTAAAAAAAAATAAAGGGTATATTTGTATTGATTGTTCAATTCTCCACATCTGTTTTGTAAGAGTGCAAAATGTCACTGTGTTTAAAGACATTTATTTAATGTCAAAGATATAAAACAGGACAATATATTACAACTGAACTTTTCTTCCCCTTAAAGCTGAACGTAGTCTTCCTACTCATTATTCTGCTTCCCTC